ATCCTGGTAGGACACGTCACCGAGCAGGGTATTTATACCTGGGGTTTTAGGAGCTTGGGGTCTTCCGCAGCTGACCTCGGAGCAAGAGGCAGCTTAAATAAACTTCGCAGATTGCATCTACCAGAAGGGTCCTGACCATTCTTGTCTCGGTCCGTGCTGCGCCGTATCATCCGCGCGCGACACCAGGCACCTTATTTGCTTCATTAGCAAGCGATTCACTCCCTTATAGAAGGCCATAAGCACCTCATTTGCATAGTCACAAGTTCAGTCATTTGGTGGCAGTTACAAACCAGTGGCAAGAAAGGCCCTAAGAAAGCCATCTACCGCTTAATGGCCGTATCACATTCTAATCCAAACTGTCAGCTGGGGTCCACATACTCCTTTGTGGTCATGGCCATCACATATTTCCGGAGGTCCTAGGCCCTGACAGCCATGCATTCTGGGTAACTGAACGCAGGCAGCCCTTGCTTTGTGCTGGTCTGCTAACGGAGAAGCAGGCGGGGCCAGGACTATTCACGGACTGCACAGCTTTCTGCTCACCCAGTAGCGGCCCCGGGAGGGCTGCCTGCCTTCTTACAGACTGCTTGACATCCTTTCCCTCAACTGTAAAGAGGAACCTCACTGCAGGGCAGACCTCACTGAGGCGTCTATGTCTTTGACATTGCTTGACTTTGTCATAGCAAAGACACACAGTGCACAAACACTGCGAAGGCTTCTTTAAACAAATTTAATCTGACGTCCCAAAAGCTGCGCTCCTGCATTCCTGTCACCATCCCCTCGTGGAGGTTCCAGTCTCTCTGAACCCCTGTAAATGCAGAGACGTGCAAAACCATACCCTGGTTCATGCCTACCCTTGCTGACGTACATTCTGCCTTCTGGTCAGACAACAGAGGCTATCCACCCACCGCACCGCTTGAACCAAATCCTCACCTTTGTGGCGACATTTTGATCCCACGGCTGACCAGGGATCAGGTCTCCCCTTACCTCGAGCTCGAGTTCCTGCGGCTCCATTTCCGAAAGCGAAAGGACGGCGATTTTGGTCACTTTACAGACCTCATGGCCTCCCGGGAGGCAGCCCACCACTGCCTTCTGCCGAATTAGGATAAGCCACCATGGGAGGTCTGAAAGAGAAGAGGCCAATTAACAGCTGCTCCACGCAAAGTGCCACTGTCCAGGCCAGATGGACAACCACCAACAAGCCCCTGGGCGCACCCTAGAGAGGGACGACCTATTAAAGCACATCACAACCGCCTCAGCGTGTGCATCCTGTGCCCCGGAGCTGGCGCTGACTTCCTGTAACCCTAGAGGACATAGCAGAGCTGCCCCCTGGGGTTTCCTAAGCTTCTGGTCTTTACTGCCACAGAGCAGGGGGTGGGTTGAAGCAGTGAGTACTCAACAACTGTGCCACCCCGGCTCCCTTCACTCCGAATTACCCACCAACCGACATCCCATCTATGCCATGGCACAGCGTCCTTAGAGGACAGGGTAGAACTGCCCCATCGGGTCTCCAAGGCGCTAGTCTTTGCGGAAGCAGACCTCCACATCATTCTCCCAAAGACTGGCTGGTGGGGTTGAACGAGTGACCTTTCAGCTAGCGGTCCCAGTGCTTAACCACTGTGCCAGCAATCAGTCACCAGGGTGGGGGAAACTAACAAGCATTACAGCCCACCCTGGGATGGAGACTGTGAGGAAACAGGCTCACCCAAGGTAGTGGGAATACAAATGGGTAAAACCTTTTGTGGGAAGTTTCCCAACACCTTGTAACAACAGTCCAGGCAGTGCCTGGGCTACTGATGCCCAGCTCACGTACAAACAACCCCAAAGCTATGAACCGACTCCTGAGAAGCCTTTTAGGTTAAAACTTCAAGGTAAACACAATGGTTTGTCCTAAACATTTTTGATGCACAAGAAAACACTACTATGATAACTTTTTTATGTCAAAGATGTTTCAGTGCATCTGAAAATGTCTCTTTAACACTTTGTACACATAGAAAGGCACACTTTCTACCAAGACAAACATTTACCTTGCTGATGTTAGAGGCAAACGTCACCTAAGTGTTGGCTTTTATTCCAATGCGACTTCTAGATGGTCTCAGGCACAGAACTAGTTCACCATCAGGGAACAGCCTGCATGCGGGTCAGTCAGAGAGACCGCGGTAAATCCCCAGACTCAAACGCGCAGCCATTCTTTACAGGAGTAGAAAGCCCCACCTTTTTCCCTTGGAGTCACTGGCGGCTTAGAACTGCAGACCTTGCAGATCACAGGCCAACTCGTAACCACTACACCACCAGGGAAGTTGTCCTCTGTCCTGTAGTGTCACTGTACCAGGAGCCCTGGTGGTGTCATGGCTATTTGTTGGGTTGCTAACCTAGAGGCCAGCTGTTCAAAACCACCAGCGGCTCCATTGGAAGATGAGGCTTTCTACTCTCTTAAAGTGTTACCGCAGTTGTTCTCAATCCTCCTCATGCCGCAACCCTTTCATACAGCTCCTCGTGTTGTGGTGACCCCAACCATAACATCACTGTCATTTTGCTACTGTGATGAATCAGGTGACCCCTGCGAGACCCACAGGTTGAGAACCGCTGTGTTACAGTCTCGGAAGCTCACAGGGATGAAGGTCGACACTGAGTTGATGGCGGCCAGTTGAGCAGGGCTGGACGGGAAGGCAGTGCGGCAGGTGGTGCGGCGGGCGGGTCTGGCTCATGGGTTTGGAATAAACCAGCTCTTAATAAGTCAGGTCACCTTGGGCGTGGTTGGAGATAGTGTGGGGAGGAGGAGGACCGAAGAAGCCACCCCTTAGGACCCTGTGGTCATGCTCCTGGTCAGGACTGGCTTCAACAGGGTTTTCCTTCTTTCCTCAGTGCATTGCACCATTTCGTCTCTCCCCCGTGGGCCCTGATCCTACCACTTCCTGTGCTGCATCTCAGGTCCGTGCTTTCTCCATGAGACAGAAACAAGGGCACAGCTCATCAGACGCACCCCGCACAGTCAGCCTACTACCAAGGGCCTGCAGTCTGCCGCTCTGGGGGAGAAGAAGCTTTACACGGAGAGTAAGGTGGATAGGAAATTGATACGTATGGGCTATAATCAGAGTACGCTAACCTTTACAGTTTTCTTCTTTGGAACACGGTATGCTTGTGAGTGAATTGGACATCCCCCCCCCCTCCCTTTCAAGTTTCCTTGATAAAGAAAGCATGAAACAGCACATGGATTAAATTTAATTATGCAAGAATCAATCTTTGGCATAGCAAAACAAAGTCAAAAGGCAAACTAGAAAAGCTACACTTGCAGCTTTTTGACTAGTCTTGTTTTATAAAGAGCTTCTAATATTTGCAAAGGGCAGATGACGCCAGAGGAAAATGAGCAAGAGACATGCCGCACAATTCAGGGAATCAGAATCAAACCGCTGGATGCCCAACCTGTCCAGCAGCGGTGAAGTGGGCATCAGAACGACATGGAGACATGTTGCTCACACCGGTGAGATGCAAACATGTGTCTCCTACCACACTGGGGAAATCAGAAACGCTTATTGCGTGCTTTACATAGTGTGGGTGAACAGATGTTTGTTGTTGGGAGGATGTAAATTGGTCTGATCTTTATGGGGGCAATTTGGGGAGATCTATCAAAACCATACAACACTGCCATCTTTTGACAGGCCAATTCCAGCTGTAATTTATCCTGAAGGTGTGCTGACAAAACAGGGGAGCTACCTTTATTCAAGGTTATTCTCAGCAGCTGGGTTTATAATAGAGCGAGCATGGAAGTGACCTAGAATTCTACTAATAGAAAACAGGTTACATAAATGATGCTTCCAGGCACAACAACATGGTGGGGTTTTCTTGTTTTGTTTTGTTTTTAATTAAAATAACTAAATGAAGATCCTCTCTAGGTACTGTTTTACAAAGACCTCCAAGATATATTTTTAGGAAAAAAATGTAAGGTGTAGAATCCTAAGTAATGTGCTAGCTTTTATGCAGAAAACAGAGTGTATGCATGGATATTTGCCTTTGTAAATGCCTCAGAAAGCGCTAGAAGGAGTGACAAGAACTACCAACAATGGTGATGGGTTGAATGGGAGCATAGGGACTGGGCAGACGGGACAGGAGTTGGGGGAGACTTGTCACTGAATTATCTCTTAAAACCCAAACCAACCCACTGCCATCCAGTTGCTTCTGACTCCCTGCCACTCTCTACTACTATCTAAATGGTCAAGCCATGAGCACGTGCAGATATAATGACTGTTGTTAACTGCCATGTTGCTGGCTAGGATTACCTATTCAAAATGTTAATTCTAAAAAGGTCCTCTTTGGAAACAAGGCAAACGTCCATCGCAGGATGCATGGGCAAGCAGAGGGTCATCTGTTCGACAACGGGATGTGATTGGCCCACGAACAGGGATGAAGTCCTGACACATTCATTGTACAACATGAAACTTGAAACCACGATGCTGAGTGACCAGAGCCGGTCGTAAAATGATCCTATGATTCTATTTATAACAGACGGATTCACAGAGAAAGGGAGTAGTCATGACAAGGAACTGGGGAGGCGGGGAAAGGGGTAACACTTTCTTTGTAAAGTGATGAAAAATGAATTAGATAGCGGCAAAGGTTACAAAACCTGGTGAAGACACTAAAATCCAGCCAATTGTGAAGGGTGAATTTCATGGTATGTGAATTATACCACTTTAAGAAGTTCCTTCTGAAGAACCAAAGAAGAGGTTAGGAGTCCCACTGAGGAGAGGAGAGCATCAAAACTAAAAAGTGTATTTTCTACCAAAAATGGAGGTTGTAAGTGAGGCCAGTCTATTAATTCTGAAGACAAATGACCAGCAAATCAAAACAAAGCCACGGTAAACCGGCGGCCATCAAGTCAGCTCTGATTCCCAGCAGCCCTGGGGAACAGGGTAGAACTGTCCCGTGGGGCTTCCACGTCTGTACCTCTTTGTAGAAGCAGTCTGCCACCACTTCTCCCCCCAGAGTGTCGCCAGGACCTCGGCTATGTGGTGTAACAGAGGTCAGAGATAACTTAATCTTGCAGCGTCTGAGAGCATGAAACTGCCTCTTACTTCAATAATCATGACAGTGAAAGGGAAAGTCAATTTTGTAAACCTGGCTCTTCCAAGACAAGGAAACTTGACTTCCCAGCAAGATAAGAACACAGATAAGGAAGTGACTATTTTGAAAAGCGTGACCAGTAGGGTAAGCTAAAACAATAGTCCTGGAAGATAGGCATTTGACCTAACAATGCATGTTAAGCAATCCTTTTTATTTTTATTAATCTAAGGTCAACAGTTCAAACTCACCAGCCTTTCTACCAGGGAAAAATGAGGCAGTAAAGACTTACAGTCTCTGGACTCTCATGAACAGTTCCGCTCCATTCCACAGGGCCACTGTGGCACGGAATCAAATGGATGGCAGTGGGGTCCCATTAAACCATCTAGTTGATGATTTTGACTAATAGTGACCATGCAGAGGGTTTCCAAGAGTGCTCATCTTTTGAACCACCTACTGTGGTTAGCTCTCAGCGCCTAACCCAGAGCACCACTAGCTTCTTGGGATTCACACAGGGAACATATAAATCCATTCCACTTGTTAAAATATGTAGATATTATTGATGAACCTATTAAGACAGCAAGTAAAATAAGAGTTTCTAGGGAGTGAAGTGGGGAGGGGCTGATGTCAAGGAGTTCAAGAAGGAAGAGAATGTTTGGAAACTGATTGTGGTAGCAATCGAACAATACTGCTTGATGTGATTGAACTATGGAACCATATGATATCTGTATTAGCTCCCAATAAAATGGCTTTTTTGGGGGGGCGGGGGGAATGTAGATATTGTAGACTAACATATGCCAGTAGGGTGGACAGTACACAGACAGAAATATGGGGGTAAGGTTTTCATTCAAAGATTTCCATTCTTTCCTTAAATGAAAATTTCTACCTCACAATTCCCTTTCAAGCGAAGCACTGGCTGCACAAGACTAGCAACCGAACCTTTCCTAGGACTACAGTTCGGGCTTGCCCCACGGCTCACGCTGACTTCCTATCAGGTTTCTTATCTTGCTGGGCAAGCCTGGCTTCCTTGTCCATGTCATCCCCCCACCCCCCACCAAGAAGCCAGGCT